TAGTGGGTTATCAGTGCTGGACAGGTGCAGATGGGCCGGCTGCCCAGAGAGCAGCTGCAGCCTTCCTGGGGCTGCGCAGTGACTGGACTGAGTTTGCTCCTCATCTCACCTCTACTTTTGTAGCTCCAGCTGACCATCACCAAGCAAGAATGTTCATCTCAATGGGAATGAGTTGCCCCTCAAACTATAGCCCTACTTGGGGGCCACCTTCCTTGCTTTCTTTCCCATAGTGCGGTGCTTTCCCTACTTGAAGAGAAGACCTCATCATGGCCGGCTCTGCCGAGCTCTGCTTTCCTGGAAGTTTAGGTGACTGAATTTTGGAAATAAGGCCTGGAGACTTCCAAGCATCACATCAGGGATTTGGGGAGAGGGCTTGGTAAAAATTGGAGAATGCAAGTTCCTGCAGACCCTGAAAACTACTTTCCTCTTATTGTGGGTCTTCAATCTCAAGGGGGTGTGTTGTGCTAGGTAAATTCAGGGCTAGACATCCTTGCCACACACACTACTTCAGTGAAGGACAAGCCTGTGTGCCGGCTGAGCAGGAATATGATCCAGAGTTCTAAGGTAAGGCCGGAGAAGCAAGCAAGCTGAAGAAAGGGCTGCACAGATTCACCCCGCTGTTAACCCCTGCCTGGGCATCTGCAGGCCCCTTGCAGGTCTGAGTGCATAGTTCAGGCTCCACAGAAGGAGGGTGTTGGCTAACGCTGCTGTGCAAGATTACCGGGCAAAGAGTTAAGTAGTGTATAGGGAAAAATGCACAGCCTTGAGCCTGCAATGCCTGGTCATTTCCTGGGCAGAATTGAAGAAAATAAACACATACAGTGCAGGGTTGGGTGAGTTTGATTGCACCTTGGATCTCTAGTTTCTTTTTTTCCTGTCTCCTGACATTTCTTATTTTTATCCTGCATCAATACTACTCTTCTGCAAATAGTCGCACTTGTCTTCCTTGTGAGATGTGGGTTTGCACTTGCAGCTGGAAGAAAGCAAAGTTCTGCCATTCTCTTCCTGTGTGGAGAGGTGTCTGCCTTCCTTCTTCATGGGAGAGGCTGATCAGTATCCTGACGGAGTGTAGCGCGTCAAAGCATAAGCCGTGGTCAGAGACGCCACTCTGCACTCAGCCGACTCACTCTTGCCTCGTTTATCACTACCCTGAATTCCCCACCCACCTCCGCCTGGCTCCAGCTCCAGTGATCTTTCTGTTAGTATGAACTGTCTTTCAGTCCTCAGTGCATTTGCACTCCATACCCACCACCACATCTCCTTTCCATTCTCCAACTTATTTCTTTATCCACATATAAAAGCTGGCGCTGTTAGAGGTATTTTAAAGTGTTCAGGGCACACAGAAGTTCTTAATTTTGCATTTGTGATATAGATAAGCTTGTGAGGAAGTTGGTATACAATTGTGAGGCTTTATGCCATTCAATGCACAACTCTGACATAGAGTACAGGGTTTCACACTATTGTAGGAGACTTTGAAATTTCCACTCTTCCTTCTGAGGTTTGGACATTTCAATGGTTACTGACATTTGACCCCAAGGACTCATGCGTTTTGGGAAACCACTGGGCCAGAGAACTATATCCCAGCCTGAGATGATTTCAGTTTCTGAAGTAAAGTGACCACAGGCAGACAACAGTAAGGTGAATGTACAAATGGTACTGTGGGCCTAAGGAATGGAGGTATGAGACCCTGAGGAGAGCAGGATGCCTTACAGACACCAGGCTCAGGCCCTGAGCAGGAGGGAGGGCTGCTCTGGAGGCAGGGAGAGGGTGTCCCTGAAGCAGAGGATGTGGGCCTTTCCCATGGGAGTTGCAGGGAAGAGCCCAGGTTGACCGTGTCCAGAGGTCAGTGTCTGGGGACTGCGCCACAGAGCTCACTCAGACCACAGGCGCAAAGTGCACGAGAGTTTGGTGCAGGACAGAGACTCCTGAATTCAATCCCAGAGCCCATGGGTCAGCTGTTCGGTCAATCTCCTACTTGAATTATGTTTATCAATGAGAAAGGCAAAGGAATAGCAGGATTCTAGAAGGTCACTTGTAAGTTTAAATTCTAAAAAGAGAGAGAGTAATAAGGAATAAGTGATTGCCACCCGGTACACCCAGGGAGAAAATCCCCAAGCAAACAAGGCCTTGGACTGAGAGGGATCTTCAGGTGTGCTGAGCAATGGAGGGCATAATTTCCCACAGCAGAATGGACTTCGTTCAAGAAGCACGGGAAACACTTGGGCTGTTCTTCCAATGATAATTGTTGCCATGGCCTTTATTTTACTTTGCTTTTGAGAGGCGCCCAGGAACATAATAATACTTCCGTCCAGGATGGATGACAGTATCAGCCTATAGACAGCTTTTCCTGGCAAGTGTCCTACAGAGAATGGAAAAAAGTATGGCTTTGTGAAAAATTAGATTTAAACAGCATGTGCTAAAGTTATCTATACAAATAAGAGGATTTTTCCTAGAAAATCATTTTTACAGGAAAATCATTGCAAAGACATTTAAACTCACCAACAATTTTGGATAAACTTAGTAGGAATTTCTCACTTATACTTGTACATTGTGAGGACCAAGTTAGTACAAAGTTTGCACAAATTGGTTGCTGGAATATTCCGTGTATACCTAGCATTTGTTCATAGGAGAGTGGAGGAGACATAAAAATCAACACTTTACGATTCAGGCATTTACTGAGTATGGACAGAATCTCACGTAAAATGCAATTTTATGCATTTATTTATTTTGGGACACTATATTTAAAGTCAAGTTTTTGATCTAAGCAATATTCCCAACTACACTATTTTTTTAATTTTGAAATAAAATCTCACTAGGTGATTAAACTGCCCACGCCGAACTCAAACATATTATCCTCCTGCCTCAGTTTACCAGTGTTCTGCAATTGGAGTTGTGCACCACAATGCTCAGCTCAGTCACATTTTCAACTTTTCATCTGGACTTCTGCTCATTGAGACTGCGAAGACAAATTTAAAGACAACTATAGGAATAAATTTTGAAAAGGTAAGAGATGACAACAGTAACCAGGGTGAATAGAGCCCATAAAAATCAGGTGGAAAAATAAAACAAAGCTCCATCACAAATGTGGCTGTGAAAGACAAGCTCTGGGACAAATCTTCCCCATCGTGAGCCCCTGGGCCAGAAAAAGTCCTAGGCAGGACGGAACCTGGACAGGGAGTCGGGTAAGGAGACCTGGCCTCTGGGTCCTGGATACACATCTGGCCCCACCGTCCTCTCCTCTCCACCCCAGCGCCACTGTGGAGAGGAGGAGACTCAAACTGCCACAGCCTCCAAGGCACATCTGACTGCTGTTCTGTGAGACACTGCTATGAAGTAGGAAGTGCAAGGCCTACGATATATATGGAATTGGAAATTCTCAAATTAATAACTGGCTTTAGCATATTTGTCTGTGCCACATGGAAAGTTTGGTTTTCTAAAATCTGGAAACAAAACACAAGGCCAATCTTTGAGAGTTGGCAAGAGGAAAAGCACATAAAAAAGCAAACATATTTCTAAATGTAAGTAATCTTATTAGGATCTTATATATTATTGCAGATTATTCACACCAGGGAAACTATTCGGTATTTACACATGTGTGACTTATTTACTTCACTTAGGAGTATATCTTCAATATGTATCCATTTTCCTATGAATGAACTTAATAAGATTACCAACATTTAGAAATGGGAAGAAAGGGGCTAAGGGTGTGTAGGGAAGGTGGGATGGATAGGGGACAGGTAATAAGGGAAAAGAAAAAAATGTGAGATAATGAAAAGATGGAAATAAAGTGTTTGTAATGGGGAGGGGAGGAGGGGGTGAAGGGAGGGCAGGGACAAGGGGAAAAAATGAGAATCAAGACTTGTCATGTAGAGGTACAAGATCCCAACAATGAATGTAACTGTACTGTATCCCAAAAATGTACCAATGAACTCAATTAAACTGAAAAAAAAGCAAATATAAAGAAAGAGGAAAAGCACTTAAAAATGAAGGAAGCCAATCTCTTCACCCTTGAAGAGCATAGGAAAAATTATTGAACAAACAAACAAAAAAGAAGATGAAAAGATGTCAAAACAAAAAACTATAAAGACACTGCAAAACCTTGGATTTAAGGTACGAATTATTTACCCTCCAGTAGTATACTTTTACTTAAAAGTAGTTAATATTGCCCAAAATTATTTTCTAGGCAATATTCTAAATACTTTACAGAAAGACAATAATTGCTTTTTCTAAACTTCTACAAAAAACATGAAAATACTATTTTTTTTCAAAAATAAATATTAGAATTATTGATTGTCGGGAGTCACCCAACTTCAAAGATCACTCACAGGTGTTCAAATTGCATCCTGTTCTTTCCTAAAGAGGCTTCTCCAGAAAACTTCCCAACACAGAATGCCCACAGATCACCCTCCTTGAGGACATCCTGCTGTTACAACAGCTCGTTATTATTAGCAATAATATTGTTTAAATCATTTCTAAATGCTGATTTCTCAATTTCTTGAAAATTGGCTAATTCTGTCTTTTTTCCACTGATAGACACTCCCACTGCACTTGAAAGGAAGAATTTTCACCACTAAAATGTAGTGAATATGAATCAATTCAATAAAAGGACTTTATGGCAGAGGGAATTGCTTTCTCAGAATGTATGAATCTGATAACAATTACTATAATTGTGAAAGGATTTAACCATCCTAAAAGTTGATTTAACTTGTTCCACAAAGTGGATTTTATATCTTTTGAGAAACCCCAGCTGCTACTACAAAGCCTACTATAGATACAGTTTACAATTGGAAATCACCTCACCGTAAACACTGGGCTCATTGTCCCTCATCTACAAATAAAAAAAAAATAAATCTATGTCTACGTAAACATTTTACTGATTTACAGGTAATTCTGAAGGTGTCCTGGTCTGAAAGTAAAAAATGAGAAAAATAAACACGGTGCTTCTGTTAACAAACCCTGCCCACTTGTTACATGAGCTCTCCACAGAAAATTCACTCACCATGGCCTGGGACAATCTGACCTTCAACTCAGACTTCATCCTGCTGGGAATCTTCGAACACAGCCCCATCTACTCCTTCCTCACCCTGCTTCTGGCCATCTTAACAGTGGTCTGTGTAGGGAACACAGTCATGGTGCTGCTCATCCTCCAGGATGCCCAGCTGCACACTCCCATGTACGTCCTCCTCAGCCAGCTCTCCCTCATGCTGATCAGCACCACTGTGCCCAAGATGGCGGTCAACTTCCTGTCTGGCAGGAAATCCATCTCACTGGCAGGCTGTGGGACTCAGATCTTCCTCTATGTGTCCCTGCTCAGAGTTGAGTGTTTCCTGCTGCCTGCAATGGCCTATGACCCCCACGTAGCTGTTTGTCTCCCTCTAAGGTATCCATTACTCATGAGTCCGAAACTCTGTGCCTTCTTGGAAGCTTCCTCATGGATTCTTGGATTACTGGATGGTATCGCTGTCATTATAGTTGCCATGTCCTTCCCATACTGTCATGGTCAGGAAATACCCTACTTTTCCTGTGATGTCCCTGCCCTGCTCACTCTTTCATGCAAAGACTCTAAAACATTTGAACCCATGATGATTTTCTGCTGTGCGATTGTGCTCCTCTTCCCCACAGCAACCATCACTGCTTCCAACACTCGTGTTCTTCTGGCTGTCACTTGCATGGGATCTGGCAAGTGTCACAGAAAAGCTTTTGCCACCTGCTCCTCCCACCTGATGGTGGTGGGCATGTACTATGGAGCAGCAATGTTCATCTACATGAGGTCCATGTCTGAGTGGTGGCCCAAGCGGCACAAGATGGTGTCCGCCTTCTACACCATCCTCACACCCATGCTGAATCCCCTCATCTACAGCCTGTGCAACAGGGAAGTCAGCAGAGCTTTCAGGAAGCTGGTAGGGAAGCAAATTATGCAGAGTAAATAGCCTAATTTTCATTGCTACAGAGTCTGCTAAATGCTTATATTTGTAAATTGAACCAATGCTATGCACCACCGACAAATCATATTTGTTCTGGAAAAATATACTTTATACCAAAAGATTCAATATTTAATAACCATGAACATGATGCAAAAGATTAGGACATGGCAATGAGGCTGCACAAGGGGCCATGACCTGTCAACAATGCACAGCTTGCAAATTACTGACTGGTGGCCTGCACAGAGAGTTTCTGACAGCCTGGACCTGAAGTCCAAAGAGCATGTAGTAGAGAACAACCCCGGACTTGCCTGGCACAGCCCTGTTGGTCTTGCAGCTGCTCAGCTTGTGTTGTGTGTAGGGAAAATCTTCTTTTCTGTTCAGAGCTCTTTGTCCTTGTCTTCTTCCTCCTTTTTGTGTTTTCCTTTCTTGTCCTCTTCTCCTGCACTGCTCACAGCCTGCTTAAGCCATAATCCATGGGGCGTTCTCTCGCACTGGGTTCTTGTTGCAGCAAACAGAGAGAAGACTCACTAGGTGCATACTGCTAAATCCAAGCCGTAATATCAATACTGCTGTCATGTTTTTGATTACTTTTAAAATTAAGTTTAGCAGTGTTTTGTTTGTTTGTTTGTTTTCTTTTTTGGTGCTGGGATTCACATTTAGCACCTTGAGCTTGTGAGGCAGGTGCTATGCTGCTGAGGTAAATAAGCAGTTTAACGGCATAGAGTTTCCATGCTGTGTCAATCACCAATGTGAAGTACAAGATTCAATGTGCTTTTAGAGTGTTTTCAGAGATTTCAATAATCAATATGATTTCACATCTCATTACATCACAAACAGTTGCTTTCCTGTTAACATCATCCTCTATCCTACACTTCCAGTCTTCTACAAATGTTAATCTGCTTTCCATCTACCTAGATTTGAGGGGTTTAAATACTTGTTAATGGGATTGAGCAGTATTTAATATTATGTGCCTGATTCCTTCTTAGCATATTTTCCTCATATAGCTATCATACATGTATCAGACTTCAAACATCACATTTTCTTTCATATTGTATAAAATGTTTTATTCTCTGATTTATACACATTGATGGACATTTCCTTTTGAACCATTTTTGCAATGAAAAATGTGATTATGAACATATGTTTAGTCAGTCCTGGACTCTGGGGCAAGAGAATTGCCATGAATTTGAGGTCAGCCCTGAGTACATAGTGAGGCTAGTAGGGACTATAGAGCAAGAACCTATCTCAAAACCAAGACAAACAAATAACTCTGGAGAAGAATGTGTGATTTTGTTGTAAAATATATTTTATAAAAATTTTGTTAGCTATGTAGAAGTGGGTTTAATTTATGGTGACTACACAGGAAACTTTTTATAGAGCTATCAAAAACTTTTTTAAAGATTATGAATTTTCTTATTTGTTATTATTTTGTTTGCTCGCTTGCTGTCGGAAGTACTGGAAATTGATCCCAAGTCCTCACACTTGCTAAGCAAGGGCTCTGCCACTGAGCTAAGACTGCAAAGCATTATTCAGTCATTTGGCTAAGAAGTATATAAATGAAGTTGGAAAAAGTTACTCAAAAAGCATACAAATTATTATAGAACTACTTTTTGCAGTAGCCAAAAAAACAAGTAGAAATAATCTGATTCAGTGAATAAAAGGACTATACTGGTACCAAAGTGCAGACAAATCTGTCACACTTGCATTGTAGAGAAAAAAATACTTGGGCCTGGGTAGTTCATAAAGGAGATGCATGCATTTTCATAGCATTTAGGGAGAGGCTGGGAAATTCAAGATCATTATGCGAACCCATTCACAGCCTGGTGACTGCCATTCTCAATATATTAATACTCCAAAATTAATTTCATTTTCTGCATTAGCAATCTGCACTAAGACACCACCTAAGTACTTCAGGAGTCCAATTCCCCCTCACACGTGTGCCCTCCTCAGTGTTCCTCCTGCCTCCACCTGGACCTCTGACCCTGGGTTCCGGCTCACCCCCCTCCCTCCAGAGTGACTCCTCTCCCGCCCTCCTGCTTGTTACATCCCCTGCTGCTGGGTCCTATGCCCTCCTCCGCCTTCACTTCCTTCACAAGTTAGTGGCCAATGAACTTCCACAACTTCTAAGGAGGATGCAGAAGTGTAGACATCCTGCGTGTCTGAGGATGACTCCTTCCTCTCATCTCCCCGGGTGATGAGCATTGGCAAGGTGTAGACCGCAGAGTTCTGATCTTCCCCAGTTGCTAAGCCCACGTCCTGACCGTCTCCTGTCAGTCAGCAATTCTATCAAGACTCCAAGGTAGCTCGGGAATAAAGCAGTGTGGGAACTACTTTTCACCACCTGAGGCTTTTAAACACTTGATTGACAATTACATTGCGGTTTCATGATTGTGTCCTGATGCGGCTCCCTTCATCTGTTTGCGAGGACACTGATCTGTCTGCACTGGTGAGCAAGTCTTTCAGTTTCAGTAACTTTGCTCCCTGTTCTTACTATCTCCCTCCTTCCCTTCTGTTCTAAATCTTTCCTTCTTGAAAATCCCCATTACTTAATGCTTGATATACCTCAGCTGAGCCACTTCTTTCATTATCTGTTCCAATTTCTTTTATATTTATTTCCTTATTCCTTTTCATATCCCTAATGTCTTAATTCACCCATTGGACTACAACTTTTTAATCTAATGCTCTTTGTATACATTTAATTTGATATTTTCTGTCTGCTTTTATCTCTCCGAACTGATTAATCACAGCTCCCTATTGAAAGAGTTATGTAGTTTTGTCCACGTTCAGATTCATTCATTTTGCCTATATATTTGTTCCGACTTCTGATTGCAGAAGCTGCCTTCAGCAGTCCAGTCATCCCTGGACCTCTGCTGAAGGGCAGCTCTGGGGCGGAGAACGTGTGTGGTCAGGAGTGTGTGCAGCAAAATGCAGCCGAGTGGTCTCAGCACTAGGGGACGTCCCAGGTGGGGTCTCTGTGTAGGACATGAGGCCGGTCTGTGTCCCATTTGTGATATAGAGGCTCATGGCAATGCATTTACTTTGAGTAGCAGGGGAGAGTTTGGAGTTGGACTTGGTTGGAACTGTTAAGGTTTTTCAAATCTTAGGGATGCTCTACATGCATTTTTTACTGCAGTAATTTTGTCTGTTAGTCATTTATTTTATTGGAAAATTTTAGTTATTCAATATGCTGACATTCATTATTGGGAATGTGCACCTTTACATAATGTATCTTGGATTGTTTAATATGAGATGGATGTAAGTCTTTTGAGGCCCAGGGGAAGGAGCTCATGTTTTGTGTAAAATTTCTGCTTTACATAAATTATTATGGAAGTGATTGCATAGTGAATCTTAGATGCGATTTACTAGACTCACTCATTATTTGTATTTCTGCCTTTTATATCTACCAATTCTTATCACTCACATTGTTTCTTGTATTTGTTGAAAACCTATGACAATTTCCTCTAAATATTCCACCGTTTATTTCTAACAATAGGAACAGCAGTTTCCCTATAGTTAAAGATCAGTGATCAACTTTAGAGAACATAGCATCAACATAACACAATTCCACAAGGATTTTGACTGAACAAAGAGTGCAGAGATGGAGAACATTCAGGAACAGAGAAGCAATTCCTCCAGATGAATGAGAGAGGAGACCACATGATGTGAGAGTCTGAGCAACAACAGCCCCCTAAGGCCCTGCAGGTCTAATGTGCAGAGAGAAGGAAGTCAGTGCATGAGCAGATGCCTCCCCTACTTTGCCATGTCCTGAGTTGCAGGTCTCACACAGCACATTCTCTTCAGAGCTCCCGTGACTTCCTTGTTCCTAAGACTATAGATCAAGGGGTTCAGCACAGGAGTGAGGATTGTGTAAAACACAGACACCACCATGTCCTTCTCGGGGGTGTGGTAGGAGCTGGGAAGCATGTAGGTGTAGATGGCAGCGCCGTAGAAGAGAAGGACCACGGTCATGTGGGAGGAGCAGGTGGCCAGCGCCTTCTTCCGGCCCTCTGCTGAGTTCATCCTGAGCACGGTGAGGAGGATGCAGGTGTAGGAGCTGGAGATGACTGTCACGGGGATGAGGAGCATGAGGACACAGCACAGGTACATGAGGGTCTCGTAGAGTGAGGTGTCTGAGCAGGAGAGTTTAATCACAGCAGGGACTTCACAGAAGAAGTGATGGATCTCCCTGGAGTGGCAGAAGGGGAAGGTCATGGTCACAGAGGTCAGCATGAAGCCGTCCACTGACCCCAGGAACCAGCAGCCAGAGGCCAGGAGGAGACACATCCTGTTGTTCATCAGGATTGGGTAACGCAGAGGACGGCAGATGGCCACATAGCGGTCATAGGACATGGCTGCCAGGAGAAAAAACTCAGAACCAGCTAGTGTCACATAGAGGAACATCTGCATCCCACACTCGGGGGCTGAGATCCTGTTCTCACCCATGACCTGGTCCATGAGCATCTTAGGCACAGTGGTGAAAATGTACATCATGTCCATGAGAGACAACTGGCTGATGAAAAAGTACATGGGCGTGTGGAGGCGGGAGTCAGAGCATATCAGCAGGATCAGGACAGCATTTCCCGACAAGGCCATCAGGAAAATCAGAAAGAGGACCAGGCACAGCAGAGCTGGGTGTGTGGACTGATGGAAGAGCCCCACCAGGATGAAATCCACCCAAGCAGTGTGGTTGGACCTCCAGGTGGAGTTGTCCATGGGATTTCACCTGCACCGTGAAGAGAAGTTGGGGTTAATGTGATATGGCCCAGACTAAGCCCATGTAGTGAGCATGCTATGGCTTCTGCACCAACCCGACTGCACAGCCAGAAGCCGCCCACGGGCTTGGGGACCTGCTGGAGGTCCTCGCATTACCCGGGACTCAACAGGTGGAAAGAATCAAAGGCCTCACACCCGATGGTCAGATTAATTGGTAACTGATGGTGAAGTTCCACACTTCAAGGTTATGACACTGTAGTTTATTAACAAATACAGAATGTTTACAGAACGAT